TTATTTCTTACTTGACCAGGACACAAGCATATCTCTTAGAAACTGACATATACCACTAGTGCTCTTTCTATCTATTGTGCTTCCAGCAAAGATTGCATCTGAATATCCTATAAGATTGAAGGATGTTCCTCTAAGATACCATAATTCTAAATTTTATATGTCTAAAAGGTACCTAAAGATTATTTTTACAGCAGTTAAGTGTGACTCTTTGGGTTAAGATTGAAATCGTGCACACAAGCATACACTAAATTGAATATTAGGCATGCTAGTAGTTAAATAGAGCAAAGATCTAATCATACCTTTATAAAGTTTTTGATCAACAATTTTTCCTTTCTCATCTGCATCAAGCTTGATAGAAGGACTAATTGGTGTGCTGATTTATTTCAGTTTCAGCATGTCAAACTTTTTTAGCATGTTTTCAATGTATTTTTCTTGACTAATGAAGATACCTTTCTTACTTTGTTTGATTTGAAGGTCAAGAAAGAATTTCAATTCACCCATTATACTCATTTCGAATTCACCCTGCATTTCTTCAGCAAAGTTCTTACACAAAGCCTCATTAGTAGCACCAAATACAATATCATCTACATAAATTTGAACTACAATTAAATCATTCAAGCATTTTTTAATAAACAATGTTGTATCAATACTTCCTCTAATATACCCTTTCTCAACTAAAAACTTTGAAAGTCTTTCATACTAAGCTCTAGGAGCCTGTTTTAGTTCATATAAAGCCTTTTGTAGTTTGAAAACATAATCAGATTTTTTAAAGTTCTCAAATCCAGGGGGCTGTTTGACATGGACTTCTTCTTGAATAAGACCATTTAAAAATACACTTTTCACATCCATTTAAAATAATTTGAAGTTCATGAAACCAGTAAATGCAAGCAATAATCTTATGGCTTCTATCGTAGCAATAGGAGCAAATGTTTCATCATAGTCAATGCCTCTTTCTTGGTTATATCCTTGAGCCACTAGTCTAGCTTTGTTTCTAATAACATTACCTTGCTTATCTACTTTGTTTTTGAACACCCACTTTGTGCCAACAATTGGGTGATTCCTTAGCTTAGAAACTAGTGTCCATACTCGTTTTCTTTTAAATTGTTCAAGTTTTTTTTGTATGACCAATATCTAGCTTTCTTCTTTTTCTGCCTCTTCAAAGTTCTTAGACTCGATTTGTGAGATGAAAGCTGAGAATTCACATGTTTCTCTAATTCCTCTTATGGTTTTACCACCATGTAAAAGATCACCAATGATCTATTCTTGTGGATGATCTTTGATAAATTTTCAGCTCTTTGGAAGATCAATGTGTTGACCTTCAGTTCTTTGCAGAGTTTCTAAGGGTGGAGGTTTTGCTTATCTTCCAAGTGAATTTTTTTCACTATTTTTCTTCTTTTGTAAGCTCATTTCTTCCATTTGTCTTTCAAAGTCCTCTACATCATTTTCATCAACAAGAGCTTCCTTTTACAAGGCATTAGATTCATCAAAAACTACATGGGTAGATTCTTCAATTGTTAAGTTCTTTGTTAAAAACTCTATAGGCTTTTGAGTTTAAAGTGTATCCTAGAAATATTGCTTCATCACTCTTAGTATCAAACTTTCCTAGAGAATGTTTTCTATTATTCAATACAAAACATTTGCAACCAAAACTCCTAAATTGAGAAATATTTGATTTTCTACCTTTGTACAATTCATATGGGATTTTTGATATCATGGCCCTTATTGATACTCTATTAAGAATGTATGCAACTATATTGACAGTTTCTGCCTAAAACTATTTTGGTAGATTGTTTTCACAAAGCATAGTTTGAGCCATTGCTTTTAAGGTTTGATTTTTTCTTTCACAACCCCATTTTGTTAAGGTGTTCCAAGTATAGAAAAATTGTGATCTAACCCCTTTTCATTACAAAAATTT